ATAAACAAGTTTAAATGTTTTGTTAAAGATATATTGTACAAAAAGGTTTATTATAATATTTAAGCATACATATTATAATATCAAACAATAAATGAAAACAACACCTGGGAATGAGGTGATCGCCAACATGCTGATTCTACTAAAATTCATTTAAAAAATTTACAAACAAAACAAGTGCATTATGTTTAAAAAGAAAAGTCCCTCAGTTCTCAGGACAGAGGTATTTTCCGAACCAGTGGTAAATAAAAAAATGACTTTCAATAAGTATTATATAATATTCAATTTTGAATGAAAATTATTCTATTCTATTACTTGTGAGAGTTTTCCATTTTATTTTCGCCCACTTTCTTGAAGATAAAACTCATAAATATTATTAAAAATATCAAGTGCACACTAAACAAAATAATAAACACTCGTTCTTAATAAAATACCTGTATTCAATATAACCCTAAAGATACAATAATGCCGGAGTGTTTGACTACATCTTGAAGCGAGCTTCAATTAGAATATTTTTCAAGCCGCCGAAGAAGATTAGACAGTTCTTACCATCCGTCAAGTGCAATATTCCCTACAAGATGCAGGAGTGTACAAGCTTGATTGTGAACGTGGTCTCTCATAATATATAGGGCAAACAAAACGATCTATCAAAACCCGCGTAAAGGAAGACATAGTTGACGTGAAACACCAACGTTCCACGAAATCTACAGGTTGTGATCATATTTAAGACGCCCCGCGCCATTTTATTAGTTATGATAAACCGTAAATTCTCGCGAAAGAACATCGATTCCTGCCAAGAATGATACGTGAGGCTATTGAAATTCAAAAACATCCTAATTCCAATAGAGAGGGAGGCTGGGTATTACCTACCACTTGCTTGGGATCCTGTAATTAATAAAATTAAAATTAAACCCAAGCATACCACTGCAAGACTTCAAGACACAGTAAGTTCATTCTGCGTAGATTGGACCAAAATTAATAATTAATAAAGCTGAAGGTACTCCGGGTTAACTCTGACATTGGTACGTCAATCACCTCAGTCCGCCGTGACCATGGGTGCTGTAAAGCACCCAAGACGTTGGGAATTTAATAAAAATAGATGTCTGAGTAATTAAAATAGTCGTTGGGATGTGAAAATTGATAATATACATTGAAGCATTGCAGCGTACTCTATTTTTCTGCCCACAATACACTATAGGTAATGAGAAGCCCTGTGCACAGTAGTGAGACGTACATTAGCTGCTACTTTACTTTTTTACCTTTAATGGGACTTATAAATCAATTTGTAATTTAAGTTAGCTTCCACTTTTTCAGACATATTAAGATATTTGTGACAGTCCTGATTTCATAGCTCATGTGAATATATGTAAATGAACAGGCTCTTGCAAAAAAATACTTTAATTAAAGAAAGCAGATTTTACTAAAACAAAGGTTCATTTTATTTTACTTGTCCAAGGCGGCAATCAAATTGTTTAAAACTGTTATATAATAGTACGTAAGTATTATTATATAACTTAGCATATGTTTTAATTGCAATTTGAAGTGTCGATTTACCTCGTTCTCGGCGGTGAAGGAAATCCTGCATATCTGAGAAGTATCACAGTTGAGGTCATCCCGCGTTAGAATCAGCGCAGTGAACACTTTTTGGTCAACAAATCTCTGAGGCCTGTGTCCAGTAAGCTATGTTATCTGCTACTTTTTTACTTTACATGGGGCAATATATGCAGTTTTTATTTCATTAATATTTTCGGGTATGTTACTTTTTTTCATTCTACTGTAAATATTAAGGATGGAAAAGATGAGTAGAACTCATTATCGTCAGCCTATCAAAAGTCCACTGAAACGAACATAAGCCTCCTCCATAAATTGTCAAGTAGCAGGATATTTGCTATAGTTGCCACGCTTGGTAGGCGGGTTGGCAGCCGCAGCTATTATTATTTTGATCTGTTGTCAGGAAGATGATTCTGCGCGTCTCCTGTTTGTTTTCCTATGTCGCCTCTTACGATGGGACGTTATAAAGTGGTGGATTCTCTTTCACCGCCACAACAAGGCGAACATTTTTCTACTCCGTTTCTTTAGTGTAATGCTTCCCACGTTCAATGTGAATAAAATTTATAAGGAATAAAACTAAATTTAAGGATTAATTTAAATTTTTTTAATTCCCCATGTTTTGGGCACTTTACGGTACCCATGGTCACGGGAGGACTGAGGTGTTTCACGACCCGATGCCATAGTTACAATAGAATAGAATAGAATAAATGCCGTAGTATGCTTTGGTTTGAATTTTATTTTATTAATTATGGTGTCTTTAGCAGGTAGCACTCAGTCTCGCGAGTCATCATTGGCAGGAGTCTGTATTCTATTGCATGGATTTGTTTTCTATCAGATCCGATATAATGGTTGGGATGATATTAAACATGTTGATATCCTTTAGATTTTAGACTTCCCTGAGAGTCCCGGAGAGAGTTTTTTTTAAATTAAACGTGATAAAATCCGTAACATTAGTTTTATTCCATGTGTAGTACATAATTATAGAGCTATATTTATGAATATTTTGAAAATTATTCGAGCGTAAACAAAATATATACATCTATTTTATGGCACCAATCAATATTAAATAGGAATGATACGAATAAAATATCTCATATAAACATTATACCGTATATTGATAGACCATGAAATTCATCATTATTTTGTCAAAACTAATTAACTTTAATTATGAAGGAATGTAAAGAGTAAAATGAAAATAATAATAATAATAAATTTTGATTCCAAGAAAATTTACTTTTCTTATGGATACATCGGAAGACAGGCCCGATATAAAAAATAGCAGGTGTTTCTAGACATATACATATATTCACGTGTGCCTGTAGCATACTATATCTATGCCAAATACCAGTCATCTACGTCTAATAGTCATTTAGAATTCAATCTTTGACAGACAGAGAGACACAAGCACCGAGGTGAAAGTGATCGAATTTTGCTAAATATGTCAGGGGACAGCATTTAATGGTGTTCCTAAATTCAACCTCACGCGAGCGAAGCCGCGGGTAAATAGCTAGTCTATACTACATCTGCTACACAGAAACTGAACAACTCAACTTCTAGTTTGAAATTGTAATGTGTGTAAAATTAAAGATAAAGAAAAACAAACAGAGCGGGATTCTATCCGCGACCCCGCAGAACTGTGACCAAACGTTTTGCCACTTCGCTACAGAGCTGTCATTATATGAATGCGTAAACAAAGACATATACCTAAATTGAGAAATTTCATCAAACTCATCACACTGTGAAGAGAAGTTGGTGAGCTTAACATCAATACTGTTGCATTGTGTTGCCACTGAGTGTGGAAGTTTGATTGATGACTGATAATTAATTTGTTGGGTTCCAGAGCCTGGATTGGTAATGATCAATCAAGCACCATGTGCAGGTGGCTTTTTATTATATTATGCTCATTCCCATTATTTTAATTATAACATTCAAAATAGTTTAATTATAATATAGTGTCAAATTTTTATGGTAATTATTGAAAACAAAAACAACTGGTTTCTTAGTTACTCAATCATGCGTCAACAACTAACCGGATATGAAATAAGATTTGGCACGGTTTATATCCTCAATTATCATTCAACCCACCCACTTTCTACGGTTGCATACTATTCGATTAAAAATTACAATAAAATAGTGTAGATTTTATATTTTTTGGAATATTTATGTCCACTTCTTTTTAAAATGTATAAATCAAGTTTTTTCCAAGCTTTCATGTTTTTATTGTAGAATAAAATATGAGATTAATTGTTATTTTTTTAAAAGGATAAGGGTGACAAACGAGCACACATTCCACCTGATGGTAAGTAGATGCAGTGGCCCATAGATCTACATCTATCCTCAATAAAGAATCAAAATGCAGATGCGTTGTCAAGCGTGGATGGAAAAGATGGAATGCCTCTTTTCCAGTAAAAAGGGTCTCCGGTTCTCTACACTCACCATAAAAAACACAGCGGCATTAAGCTGCTATTTTACGCTGGTATTCTGTGAGAGCGTGGTCCTACCCCGGTCGAGCCGACCCATTCGTGCTACAACCATAATATAGCTGCAGCGAGGCTCTACCACGTTATAAATTACCTAAAGTTGATCCATGTTGTGAGGACGTAAAGAAATCCATTGTTATATTTTAATGTTTATCATTGTTTTATTTTTTAGTTGGTAGGATTCATGTTCTGTCTATGAATCGATCTGGGTAGGTGCCACCCTTTTATCTTTTTCTGCCACTGCTATTTGGCAACAGAATTGGCTGCCATGTTCTGATCTGAAAAGTATTGGGTGCCAGTATAACTACAGTGTGCGGCATTCCATCTTAGTCCTCAGAGGGTACAAGGCATCTGTAGGCTTCTTTGTTTGAAGTTCCCTGTAAGTGTCCATGGGCTGCAGCAGCCACTTATAATCAGGTGAACTGTAAGTGCGTTTGTTACTTCAGTTTTATAAAAAAAAATATTCTATTTACGGATTTACTCATAAATAATAATAAATTTTTATTATGAAAGTAGCTGAATACATCAATGTACCAAAAAAACTAATCAGCGACATTAATTTTCTTTTGATTTTAATACACAATAATGGATGCACACTTAATTCTCTTTATAATTTTGAAAATAGTAATTTGATAAGGTCTCCCAAAGATTGTTGCTGCTGAGTAACGCTATCACAAATCTAGCGGTACTAGGCATTACATAAACATCCATCGTCATAAGCACAAATTTTATGTAACCCCCAGTCGCGCATCGGAGTGGGCCCAGCAAGCACCCAGTCCGCGCCTGTAACCCGACCGCCGCGCACGTATCTCTGCACACCAAAAATCGCACCATGCATAATTACGTCTAAATTTTCGAAATATTTTTAAGAAAAAATGTATTAACACTCTTCAGAGAGAAAAAAAATTCGTAAAATTTCCGACGTACCGCATAAAATGAAAGTGAAATCAACAGAGCAGTGACCGACGCAACATGTTGAGCGAAAATAGATGGAAAGTGATACTGCTCGTTGCTGCGTCCGTCGCGGCTGTCGAGTCGAGCCGCGCGCTTAGCATAGTCTACCAAAAACCCAGAACAAGTCCTATGTTTGTACCAAAACATCTCTACAGGCGCTCGAAACAGTCTAGGGTGTTGTTCTTGGACGAGGATGAGAACCATCAACCATTTGGACGCGGTGAGATAGATTTAACTACAGATAAGTACAGTTCAAAAATAAAGTTCGATGACAGTACGGATTACGAGTTCACCTCGTCTGAAGATGCAGCGAGTTCAACAAAGTCACAAGATAACGACGCTCCATCAGGAAATGAAAGGTTCTATGAACCACTGCCACGGTTCCGACCTCCCCCATTCCAAGTGTATCCTAAGTATTACCAAGGACGTTTCGGTCGTCCTTACGCGCCGAGTTATGGCTTCGATCCGTATTCATTTGCTCCCGCAGTGCGTAACGGGTTTTATGGGCCTACTAGTGGTTGGAAAGCACGCAGTCCCCGTGTTGTGTTTCCGTATGCTTCGGATAGCATTAACTCTGTGCAGACTAACTCTCACGCCGGACCAAATTTAAGCGACAATGTTGTGTTCCGTGATCAGAGTTTTGGTATTAATGACATCGGTGCGGAAGAACAGAGTTTGCAGGACATCGGTACGGGTGGTGCAGATGCTTTCGCAGAGAGAGGTAAGCTTATATAATGTTATTTCTAACTTAACAGAGACCGATAAAGTGGTAAAGCTTGTTGTGGGTTCTTCAGCGGCGAGGAAGTTTAATATTAAATTTTGTTTAGTATTTCTTTGTTTACTTATAAATGTTACTAACTTCTAATAGCAGCGGAAATGTCTAACTATTACTTAAATTATATTTATATTTTTATATATATTTGTATATTTATAAAGGTCAAATTAGTTCTACTCAATGTGTAGTATTCGTAAAAGTATAAGCAGTCATTACGGTTCTGATATTTTTGCCTCTTATTATGTTTTGGACGTGACTGCAATTGCGTCCACCAAACGGCTGAGCTTCGATCACAGTCATTAGATAGCCTGTCTCTCATTGTTCTATAGAATCAACTTTTGAGAATGTACGGTAGCATTCTCTTTTTACTATCGTATAAAAAAACGCTTGGCGAACTTCCATCCTTTCGCTGTAAATACACTAAGCATTCGAACGCAGTGCTTTGCTTCGTCGTTTATAATGCATACTGATTGGAATGATTTGCTAGCGTTGGTCTTTCCGTCCGAATACAATGTGACTGCAAGAGAACTGTGAATAGACTTTCTCTAAGTTAGTCCGATTTACTGTCTGAGATACTTCCACCGCATACCATTAAGTGGGATCGTAGCCTAGCACCACTTTATAAAATTGTTATTATTATACAATTTAATTGAATAGCCTTGAAAAAAATACACAAAACAATAGGTTTAACTTAGGTATCTACTTGAGTTTATTATTTCTTATTTCTGCTTTTAGAATAATTCGCGTAGTATCAACAAAATAAGTGCGGCACTATTAGTCGTGCTAACAGATTGAGGTAAGAAATTAGAGAATGCCCTTTATTAACTTGGGGAGTTAAAAACCATAGATGCAAATATTAATTTTTAATGCTTTTTCAAAAATCCGCTTGTTAAATACAAAAAATTGGATTAAAAAAAACACCCCTTTCAGTACTCCTGTAATTGTCCTCTTTAAATAGTGGGAGATTCAGTGTTAACAGATACGTTACATGTGCCTGATTTAATGGTTACAAGTTAGGAATATAGACATAATCAAAACTTAACTTCGATCCAGAAACCAATAATTTGTCTATTTGTATAAAACTGTTGACCTCTGAAATGATTCAAGCCCGAGGGCAACACCGTTTAACGGTGATCTGTCATGCAGTTTTATATGCCGTCACGATAGCATGTAAGTAACTAACAAATTACGCGTATACATAACGATCATCAAACAAAATATTTTAATTATATATGAAAAAGAAGTTAGAAGTTATAGCTTGTTTACGTCCAATTGGAGCTATAAGCTATATTGGATAAGTCTTAAAATGAACACGACCAGGACTAATGTCATATGTAGCGTCCACGTTGCACCTATGTCGTTTATGAGAGCCGTGTTGTTGGGAGCACCAAGCTCGAAGTTGTTGACGAGTATATTTGCCTAGAAAAAATTGTCCGACTAAGCAGCTCCAACTTCGACCGAGAAGTCAATTAACGGATCCAACGTAACTGCACCGTTCGGAGATTACAATACATATTCTTGTCACGTATATACCTTTAAACTTGAAAACAAGAGTGTGAGATGCCTAAGTGCCGTATAAGGAAGTTCAAGGTCACTTAACAAGCCTACTTTGCATGATAGACTACATAATAAGGATATCCGCAGTTAAATCAGAGTAATCGACATACTCAATTAGTAATCTTATGTGGCAATGGACCGGCCATATAGCTCGAAAAACGAAAACCAATGGATAATAAAAATTCTTAAGTGACAGTTTCGTACCGGTAAGCAAAGTGTAGGACGGTCTCCCAGTAGATGGAGTGACGACCTGGCAAAAGATGCAGGAAGTTGATGGATGCAGGTGGCTCAAGACCGTGCCTTGTGGCATTTTTTAGGGAATAGCAGTGGACTTGTGTTGGGCTGCAGTTATGATGGTAATGATGATGATAAATACATAATAAAAGCAGTAAAAGTAAAGTGATAGCCTACATGGGTCTGGGGCTGGAGACTTTTTCTTCGCGTTTTGCGATTAAGGGCTGTAATTGGCACTTACTATCAGGTGGAAACTTAAATTTAGGAAAACAATTCACGATAAAAGTAAATGATACTATGCTGGCGACTTATAGTTATTTAGTATTGGTACATTATTTTGTATTTATTTTATTTTTATATAGGTAGTTAAAATATTGATTAAGATTTTTTATACTAGACTATAAATATGATAAATAATAAGCTACGAAGTTTTTTCATATTTATTCCGACTTGTATACGTACGTGAGACGCACTTTTACATTTGAAATTTATATTTTTATTTATTAACCGGTTTAAATGAAACAAAAACAAAATGTCTGCACAAGCATATCTCACTACATCAATGGAAATTACATCCTAATTGGTCCAGTTCATTGTTGAGAGCTTAAGTAAGTTTATAATATTATTTATGTATTTTGTCATTACATCCTATTAAAATTTCCCAGCTGAGCATAGAGACATAATTGCCACTTTTTGTATGAGGCGCGGCAAACTAACATTCAGCTCACCTGATGGTAAGTGACTACCGCCGCCCATGAACAACTGCAACACCTGGGGAATTGCAGATGCGTTGCCGGCCTTTTAAAAAAAATAGGCTCTTTTCTTGAAGGTTACTTAGTCGTATCGGTCCGTAAAGTATTATTTTGAGCTGTTACCAGGAAGATGCTTCTTCCCATTTCCTGTTTCAGTTTCCTCTATCGTCTCTTACGATTTACAACTACTACGATGATTTATCAGCGCATTAAAAATGTAAATGTACGGCGCTCTATCCGTACAATAAGCGTTACATTTCTAATAGAAAAGACTAAAGTATTTTCTATTAGAAAATAAATTTACTATAATGGGAAGTATTAAGCAACTTATTAAAGGCAATCTTCCATGCAACTAGAGATATCTATGTGCAGCTGTGAACTTCTAGGGGCTGATGGAGAAGCCACTATTTATAAATATTTTTAAAAATCAAAAATCTATTCATTACACATAATATCAATATTATTCACGAATTATATTTTTTAAATAAACTTTGCTTTTGACATTGACTTTATACTTATATAAAATCCCCTTTTAAATTCTGTATTTCGAAATCGAAAAGTAGTAATGTTAAGTTACGTTAAGCTAGAGAGTTTTATAGAGCAGTTGTTCCACCATCCTTATGATACTTATCATCAATGCCTAGCCCGTGATAACATGCTGATACTGTCTGATCGCTTCTTTACAGACGGGCCTTCCGTGTCTATAGTTTGTTCAACCGTGACCACTATAATGAACTCTATTGCCTGCTTTCGATGTTTTACGTGACTAAACACTGTTGTATTTATAGACATAATATTAAGAACATTTAAAAAAATTATATTGTGTCTTTGCTTCTTTAGTGTTTTAGTGTAAATGTTTTATATATAATTCTTCTGGCCGTGTGTATGTGACTGAACTCCTAAACGGCTGGATCAATTTTGAAGAAATTTTGTGTGCGTGATTCACTTGATTCGAGAATGGTTTAAATTTACAATTGAACCCTGTAGGTGGCGCTGTTGTTGAGGTCCAGAAATCACCCATATGAAGCTGGGGCGGATCGCTAAAAACTCAAAATTGTGAACCAACGAAGAAAGAAAACGGTAGCACTGCGTAGATTTCAAGTGACGTAAAAACAAATTCAAAACCATGCTCAACCTATTGCAAGACATGCACTCACGTATACGTATGCATATAAAATGATTTGCAACCAGCAACATGGTTTTAGGTGCATTTGTAGCCCAGTTTGTATTTGTTTCGCGGGCTCATAAAGAAAGACTTTAAAATAACATTACCCGACCAATCAAGAAATACAAACTATCGAATGATAAAGTACACTTGTTTCTGATCAGCCTCTATAAATTCGCTGCTAGATATGCACATATTCGCATGTAGGTCCTTTCAACCTGCAATAGCTAAAGTATGCAACTTCTAAATATCTCCAATTTTTTTAAGTGGCAGAGTTATTCGGCGGTGTATTATGGCTGCATCCGAGCTTGACCGGGGAGGGACCAGGGTCACACAGAATACCAGCGTAAAGTAGCAATATAATACTGTGTTTCGTATGGTACGTGACGAGAAACAAAGACCTATTTACTGGCAAGAAGGCAATTCATCTTGGTCCTCAGGGATGACCACGCATCTGAATTTTAATTCTTAATCAAGAATTCATTTATTCATTACAGCTTATGAAAAGTCTACTTCTAAAGATATAGAATAGGCGCCCGCGCCCGCCTGTGTATATGTGTGTGTGCGTGTGCGCGCGCGCGTACGTGTGTGTGTGTGAGTATGTGTGTGTGTGTCTGTGTGTGTGTGCGCGTGTGTGTCAGAGAGAGAGAGTGTGTGTTTTCGTGCATGATTTTGTATTTTTAAATATGTATGATTTGTATGATTGCCTGAATTAATAATGATTATAATTACATTTACATACTAGAGGTTAATAGACATTCAGTAGCTTCATAGTCTTAAGTTTTAAGCCAATTAATTATTTTACTTTTGATTTGATGGTTGTTGTAGCTTTTACTAATACAAATTTTATTACATTTATTGTTTAGAAATGGCGCAAGGTAATAAAATTGTCTTTTGGCAAGAGTACTATACATTCTAGGGACTGAGTATCTATCTACCTTATTTCTTCTATTATACTGTTTAAAGTCAAGTTCATTGGGTGCAGAGTAACTATGAAATCGTCTCATAAGTTGGTATATAATTAATTTTCTCATACTAAATACCTGTGCTTTTTCATACACCAGTGTTGTGGGATGTTTATACGGAAGAAAAAGTAACATTTTGAGCACAATACGTTGTGCTCTTTCAGCATCTATTAGGTACGTTTTGCCTTTGCCTGCCCCACTCCATGAACAGACGCCATAAGTAATGTCAGATTGAGAAAG